TACTGTAATTTGGGCTTCCAGCTCATGAAACCCACAAAAACAGGATTTAAAAAAATTAGAATACTGCAGAGAAATCAGCCCAAATGTTGCAGGACTTGAATGTTCTATTTCGTATAGGCTTTGCCCTTTAAGAGCTGTCGCTATTGGGTTTATCCCGTCATGCAAAGCATTGCAATGAAAAATTTAGTCCATGCCCACCTGCTGTGTAGGCCCCATCCGGTCCGTATAAATTACGTTAAGAGCGGGTAATCGGCTCCTATTTTTCTTCAGCAAGCTAATAGCACTGTCAGAAGAACGAAGAAGGGAAGTTGTCTAGCTTGACCAGCTCAACCTTGGTTAAGACTGCCTGTGGCCCCGCCACGTCAACCTCCTGCCGTCCAGGTGAGTTCTCCTCCCCGAGGAGAAGCAGACGAGCAGTCTTGTTTCAAGGTAAGCGCCGAGGATCATTTCTCAGTGGCGGGTCGCTACACGCTGGACGACGCCATCTTGTAATTTTCCTTTTATCGCCGACTCTCTGAGCGAATAGGATGGTTCCTCCAGGACAGGAGACATCAGCAGCAGCCCCCCACTGTTCACTCTCTCCTGGAGAGCGTAGTGTCGGAACGAGGGGGGCTGAGCGAATGCTCACCCCTCCCGGACCTTTTTCACATCGGCAACCACACCGCTCCAAGCCGTCGGTGCCCTCCTCTGGAGCTGCCCGGCATAATCCAGGAGGCGGCTGACATGAAATGACTTTCTGTCCCTCTCCTTCCCCCGCACAGATCGGAAGATCTAGCGGGAAGGTTTCTGGGCTCCACTCGGGCTCGCCGTCCTGATCCCATCTGGCTTCGTTTCCCAGCAGTGACGTCCTACTGGAACGAGGCCGCAGCCGGTCCTGGTAGAATAAGGGCGCCGGTTCCCACATTTGCGCCCATCACCAGAGTGGAGGAGATTCACCGAGCGGAAATTCCCTCGGTACCCCACTGGAGCCGAGCCTGGCGGAGGCTTTCGGAGCAAAGATGTCCAGGTTGGACCAGCATCCTGCGCCTCCGGGTAAGCATGACCAGACGGTGACGTTGCTCTCCAACTGAGCTCACCAGTGTGCGTTCCAGGCGGCCGCAGCGAACAATACGTTACGCTGTTGGCGTACAACGTTCAAGAGGCTGGAAGAGACGTAGCACTCCCTCTGCAAGGCAGCTGACGTCATCCTCAACCTGTGCGCCTCTTCTGTTGTCTGCCGGTCTTGCATCGCAACCAGAGGACAAGGTTCTCTAGAGGTCCACCTGGCTAGTCACTCCACCTCCCTCTCGGAGGAGCTGCATAAGGTTTTTTTCTTGGAGGGCCCCATCAGCAACGGGCACGCTGTTCGGGACCAATTTCAAGACAACGACAATGCCATGCTCCACCGCCAGCCCCACCCGTCAGACAGCCTTTCTCATCCCGGCAACCGGAGGTTCAGCGTTTCCCTGAGATCGCCAACAGGCAACGCACTGGGACAACAAACCGCAGAGCTCACGGGGGAGAAGATTCAAATGACAGTTTGCAGAGGATGTGTGTAAAGATGACACGAGTTTTGAAATAAAACATCATTAATGATTAAAGTGTCTGATTAGCCAGTCTGTCAGCTCGGATGACCTCACAGCAGATCCTTCACGCATCTTCCACACAAAACGAGACGGTGGCTTTAAAAAAGGTTTTTCAGAATCACCGCTGCTCCAAATAAACACGAGACACTCGCATGACACAACAGTCGAAAGCGAATGTGGTCCGCAAAATGAGTCCAGTGAAATAACTTGTTTTCAGCCTGAGCTGCACGCTTCTCACCGCAACGGTGTCAAACGCACGCTCCCGCGACACCAGCAGCCTCACTCAAACGGCGCTGCATTGAAGAAGGCGCGCACACCGCACCCCAGCGCTCGTTGGCTCGCATCAGCATAAATGTGAGACCACAGAATGGGTCCAGTGAGAAACCTCGCTCTCAGCAGGAGCGGCACGCGTCTGACCGCAACAGTGTCAAACGCGCGCTTCCGG